GTCAATTAAAGCCTTCAAACAAGAATTGGATACTGTCTGAAGACAGAATAATTTGCAGGTTTATGGAGGAAAGGCAGGTTTCTTGTAGAACTAAGTGAGTTGCTGTTTCAGAGAGCTGGTATAAATAGGAGAGTCTGAATGGCCGCTTTCTGTGCTGTATGGATTTTATGGCCAAGTCTTGAAGAACCTGTCCGAAGTCCTTAATGATCCGTGAGAAACACCCAAGAAACATTTCTGAAGGTATAAACCGCCTCTTGCTTTGTATTGCATGCCCCAATGTTGTGTTTTTAATTTCCCTTTGTGTCAATTTTTTTGTCTAATTTAAAAAAAAAGATTGTACACCCCAATCTCTATGTTTGATGACTTTACTGATTTCAAGTAGACTTGAGTTCTGGCTCTCCCTCCTACATCACCCATGGAAATGTATTGCTTCTGCCTATATATGTTGAATTATAATTGGCATACATCTGCCTATTTATCTATTCTGCCTAAATCCTCTTCCAGCCTCCCTGAATTTTTCTCCAGAGTTTAAGATCAACAAAATTTGATATCATTTGTGCTGTTGTGCAAGTCATTTGTGTATTTGGAGAATAAGAAAGGTTCCAACACATCCATGAGGCACGCCTCTAGCACATTTTGGCAGTCTGAGAGCATTAATTTAGCCATTGTTTCGTTATGTTTTATCCTTCAGCCATCCCTTTATTCTTGAATGTCATTAACTTTAATTTATGCATCACGTCCCATATGTGGCACTTTATCAAACAGTTTTCGAAAATTCAAATTCACTGCATTCTTTGTTTTATGCTCTCATTTTTCAAAGAATTCAATGGAAATAATCAAGCATGACATGCCATTTACAAATCTGTGTTGACTGTCCTTGATTAGATAATACTTTTTCAAATGTATAGTAATGTTAGCCCTAATGGTTTCCGCTAGTTTTCTTCCTCTGATGTGAGATTAACAGTTTGTAGTTAGGCCAGATGGCTTCTCTGTTTTCTTATTTAAACTTTGTCAAGTAACCTTTGTCACCTTCTGGTGCTTTGGTATGTATATTTTTATATATATAAAAAAATGAAAAGTATGATTAGAATGTCTGATGTTTAATTATTAAAATGGTGCATGGAGCTCGAACTATCTGGGTCTGCTGTCCATTTACCATTACATTGCCATAACTTTTTAAAATAAATATATAAGTTGCTCCTCATTCTTTTCAAGAACTCCTATTTTCATCCTTTACTTTTAAATGTAAAAGCAAAATGATTAGGAATCTCTATTCCATATAGGATTGCTGCTGACATCTTTTAACAGCTTCATCTTTTCTTTAATTATCACTTGCACCTATTCTTTATTTTCAGCAACTGTGTTTACCAATTTCTTTTAAGGCATTCAAAACTCCGGTTTTTTAAAATGCATGATGGTTGATAGCAATGATAAACGTTTAAGAAACGGATGCATGCATTGCAATGGCTCGGTATTCCTTTTGAGTGAAATAACACAATAGGAAAAGTAACCCAGTTGTGGCAAACAAAGGAATTAAGGTTGCTATTAGATCCAGAGAAGAGTCATATGAAGTTACTAGAGAAAATAGCAAGCCTAAAGATAGGGAACAGTTTAGATTTTAGCAAATGAGGACCAAGAGATTGATTAAGAGGGGGAAAAAGTGGAGCATGAGAGTGAACTTGCAAGGAACATATAAAAGATCTTACTGTCCACTTAAGTATGTAAAAGGAAAAAGATTAGGGAAGGCTATGTAGACTGCTTACAGTCTGAATAGAGAAAAAGGAAATGAGAGGACAATGAACAAACAACTTTACTACAGAAGGAGACACAAATATCTTCCTCGGAATGCTAGAGAAGCAAAGGTCTGTTTGGAATGAGGAATTGAAAGAAATTTTATTCAGTGAAAAAAAATGAGTACAGGAATAGTTAGTGATACTGAAAACTGATATGAAAACTCTTGCTGATTTTTCATTATTTTAAATTTGATTCTTTCATCAACTTTTGGTTTGTAGCTGGGAACTGGGAATTATGAGCTGAAGATGGCCTTTGGACTTTGGGAAAACAGCTTGTGGTAAATGGAAAAGAGCAAACTAACTAAGCTTTTGTTGATGAGGCCAGGCCTAGAGTTTAATTGCACACTGATCCTTGATTAAAAGAATTCCTACAGACACAGGGATCCCTGGAAGAGCATTGTGTTTAAACAGATAGCTAGTTTGTGCTTGTGAAACAATGTATCATGAAAACCATTTGAATAATCTGGTCATTTTTGTTGTATTCTTTCACTCGTCGCTTAACTCTCTCTTTTCTTGTCTATTTTGTATGAATGGGGCTGAGAACAAACGTTTTGGCTTTCAAACATTGATATTAATTATCTTGTTTAATTTTTTCTATGCTAAAGTTATTGTATATTTATCAAATTGTTAAGTCTTTTGTTTAAGATGCAAAACTGGTGTCTGGACAAAGCCAGCAGAGGTGGTGGTACAATAGTATACTGTCTGAAGGGATTGTCTCAACACTGACTCCTGATCCTATGAAGTCTCATGGCTTCAGGTTAAACTTTGGCGAGGAAACCTCCTGCTGATTACCATGTACCATCCTCCCTTGGCAGGTGAATCAGTGTTCCTCCATGTTGAACAACACTTTGGAGGAAGCACTGAGGGTGGCAAGGGCACAAAATGTACTCTGGGTGGGGGATTTCACCGTCTGCCACCAAGAATGGCTCGGCAGCAGTCCCACTGATCGAGCTGGTCGGGTCCTAAAGGACATAGCTGCTAGACTGGGTCAGCAGCAGGTGGTGAGGGAACCAACAAGAGGGAAAAGCATATGTGACCAGCTGCAGATGCATCTGACCATGACAGTATCGGTAAGAGGGACCACCGCATAGTACTTGTACAGACAAAATTTCACCTTCACATTGAGAATTATCCCCATTGTGTTGTCTGGCACTATCACCATGTTAAATGGGACAGACTTCGAACAGATCTAGCAACTCAAGACTGGGCATCCATGAGGTGCTGTGGACCATCAACAGCAGCAGAATTGTACTCCAGCACAATCAGCAACCTCATGGCCTGGCATATGCCCCATTCAACCATTACCATCCAACCAGGGGATCAACCCTGGTTCAATGGAGAGAGTGCAGGAGGGCATTCCAGGATCAGCACCAGACTTAGCTAAAAATGAGGTGTCAACCTGGTGAAGCTACCAAACAGGACTACTTGCATGCCAAATAACCGAAGTGGTGAGTGACATGCAGAACTAAGTCATTCCACAATCAATGGATCAGATCTAAGCCCTGCTGTCCTGTCACATCCAGGCATGAGTGGTGGTGGGCAATTAAACAAGTCATTGGAGGAGGAGGCTCCACAAATATCCCCATCCTCAATGATGGAAGAGTCTATATCATCAGTGCAAAAGCATTCACAGCAATCTTTAGCCTGAAGTGTCAAGTAGATGATTCATCTTGGCCTTCAGTGGTCACCAGCATCACAAATGCCAGTTTTCAGCCAATTTGATTCACTCCAGGTGATATCAAGAAATGGATGGAGGTACTGGATGCTGCAAAGCAATGGGCCCAGACAACAGTCCGGCAGTAGTACTGAAGACTTGTGTTCCAGAACTTGCCGCTCCCCTAGCCTTCAGAACTTCAGTTAATGTTTCGGGTCCAGTGACCCTTCTTCAGAACTTCAGTTTTCTCTCCATACGTGCTGCCAGACCTGCTGAGTTTATCTACCAATTTCTGTTTTGCTTATAAATAAATGGTAATGTACAAAGGGACCTTCTAGCAAGCTGTGCAGTTTGTTCTCTTTACCAAAGAAAAGTCATAGAAAGGGACGCAGTATAGGTTTACCAGACTGTGTCATGGGATGGCAGACTTTTCAGGAAGAGAGACTGGGTCGACTAGCTGTGTATTCACTGAAGTTTATAAGAATGAGAGGAGATCTCATTGAAGTGTATAAAATTCTGCCAAAGCCGGACATACGACACAGAGATGATACTTCTTCTGGCTGGGTGGTCCAGAACCAAGAGCCATGATCTCAAAATGCATGGTATGCCATTTAGGACTTAATCGAAGAGAAATTTCAACACTGAGAGGGTGATGAGCCTGTGGAATTCTCTAGCAGAGAAGGATTGGAATGCCAAAATCATTGAATATGTTCAAAAAAAAAGGTTTGTTGAGACCAAAGATGCCAAGGGATATGGGGAGATAGTGAGAATGTGACATTGAAGCAAGAGATCAGCCAATTTCATGTTGAATGAAAGAGTGGGCTGGATGGGATGAATAACCCATTTTCTCTATTTATGTTTGTATTCTTCATTTGTGTTTTGCTATTTCTTCTGCTTCCCTTCTGTTCTACCACCCAAAAAATATACTGCACTCTTTTAGGTTTAGATTTGAGCTTTTGCAAGTTCTTTCCTCCTAGTTAGAGTTTTAGGCTAAGTCCTATCCATCATCGTAGTTAAGTGTCTCCCATTGTGATCTGTATTACCTCCAGCTTCTGTTCCAGTTATTTTTCATCCCATATCATCTCTGTGTATTTTATGTCTATATTATAATTGTAAATCTAGTAAGATTACTGCACTGAAAAGGTGTTCTACCCCCGGGTTATTAGATGCATATTTTTAAACTCTATCTTCTTTCCATTTATACATTCCCTTCCATGTCAAAGCCATCTTTGTGTACTGCATGCCATAGTTGCTGTGCCAACCGATACTCCTCTTAAGTTGACTGGCTGAGAGATGCACCATATTAGATCAATTCACCCGGTGATCAATGTTATGTTTCTTCATTTTGCCTACTCCACAAATCCCTCACTTAAGTGGGATATTTAATTGAACATTCTGCCTTTCCAAAAGTGTGGATGCAAGATGAAGTTGGAGATAGGAAGTTAGTGTTGTGTTATCAGAGTTGTATTTCGAATTATGCCTGGCAGTGGGGGTCAAGTGAAAGTCTGATATTTAGAAATGTAATTTTCAAGCTAATTTTATCTTTCCGTTAGAATGTCAACTGATGAAGACAGAGAGACCAAAATCAAACACATTTATCATTCGGTGTCTCCAGTGGACTACAGTAATTGAAAGAACATTTCATGTTGACAGCCCAGAGGAACGGTATGTTTTAGAAAAGGATGTGTGTTTATCAGTAATAGTACTGATCAGGACAGTTAAAACTGCATTTTTTCTTTACAACACAGAAGTTTAATCACCAGCAAATTAATTCATAATACATGCCTAAAGTACTACTCACAATTTCAGGAGTCAAATAATTTTCAAGAATATTTTTAAAGAAGACAAAAGTTTGGTGTAGAATTAGTATGTTGTCGGTGCCTTTCAAGAATATCGATTAAAATTTTCCACTGCCTTGACTGATGTGGGCAAGGCAAGAAAGTTGGGAAAATGCAGTGAGAATGAAAATCTTGGAATCTTGACTTCAAGAAAAAGTGTCCCTATTTTTCCTTTGAGGTTCATATGGCCAGATTAGAATCTCACTATTATGTGGTGACTACTTTATTTCGATGTATTTGAATCTCATCATTAACTAAACTCGCCTCATTTATATTCCATTTCCAGCTCTCCTTCCCAAGGAACTACGTGGTACCATTTCCCAGCATGCTCAGTGGCAGCCACTTATCACTAACTTCTCCAGGTCTTCATCTAACTCTATCTTCTTCACTATGTCTGTGCATGCTCCATGGAAATTGTCCTTCTCCAGCCTTCATCCACACAAACCAGCATTGGCACACCATCACCCTCCTCAGGTCTGATCTCAGTTCAAATTTTACACCACCTCAACCTCCGGATTTCACATTGGAGCTCGGGGACGCCAATGACTTGCATGCTTCTGCGAGGTTGCAAGGTCAAACACCTATGCATCTACACAGGAAACATCTTGTGGCTCTTAGCTTTGTTTATGAGTGATCAGGAATTACAGACAGCAACAAGACTTGGATAGATGAGAGTCTTTGAATGGACATGATGCATGCAATAATGAGACATGTAGTTCACGAGCCTTGGGGAAATGCTTGTGCAGTGACAGAATTAAAGTAAGTCGTGGCCCTGTGAGTGTAAGGTAGCAGAGAGAAATTGGCGGCAATTACTCTTGTGGAGATCAAAACATTGTTAATTTTCTGGCTGCACTGCCGTATGTTGTATTTTAGCTGGGACACTGCATTAACATGGGTCACTGTCTCAATCCAGGCTGACTGTTTCTGGTGTCATGGCCTCCTTTTGCTTCTCAGCATGATACAGCACTGCTCTCCTCTCTGTCGGTTACCATCACGGTCTCTGTCAGTGTGCTGAGGAGCTAATCTTTCTGGGCCATGTCCTGAATGTAGACATTCAAGCACCATAGTCTGAAGTGGAGGTGGCAACAACCGGGAGGCCCCAGCAGTGACCAGTATTTCCATCTCTCCTGTCACATGATTCTCTTAGAAGGATGCTTATGATCCAGATGCATTATTAACAATATGAAGAGCAGAAGATTGGGTGAAGAATCTCGTCAGCCGTCGGAGTCCAGCTCCACAAATCTCACTTGATAAACGTTTTGGTTGTGTTATGGATCAGACCAAATTCCCTTCAAGTATATCAAGGAGATGGCTTAGACCCTAACTTTTATCTTATTTAAAGGCAAGTGTAAGGTGCTGTGTTCCAGTAATTTGGCTTTAAGCAAAACCCATTTTGTTCTTATCCTACAGTTAAAATACCAAAAGGAATAAGAATTGGAATAACTTAACTCGATTGGAAAACTTAACAGAATAATATATTATCTAATGGTTAAACAGCGACTGTTCCAATACAGTAACAATGCATAAACACACCCTTGGCAAAGGCAAATTTGGTAAAATAGGTTGTTTCAAATGGGATCGGGCAGCAGAAAGAAGCCAAGCTTTTAGCTGTAGCAAAGAGAAAGTGAGAGCGAGAGAGAGCTTCCACAGCCAACTTCAAAACCCCAACAATTGTTGAAAGCTAAACTAAAACCGTGGTCCTGTGGGAGCCTGACTCCACCCATTCATGCTGCTTCTTATGTTCCAACTTTAAAACAAAACAAAAGCCTCACAAGCTGTTTACCTTATTTGCTTGGAACAGACCGCTCGACACTTTTGTCTCAACATCTCTTTATATAAAAAAAGGAAAAAATACACCTCTTAAAGCCATAGTATCATCACAGTTGATAATGCGAGAATTCCATCTTGTTTAATTTTTGGTGCCTTTTACTTTTTTGTTTAGAGTTTTAGATCGAAGGAACGTGCACCTGCATTTGGACTTCAGTTACACAATGATGAGATTATAAAGAAGGAATTGAAATACTAAGACTTTTTACCAGACCAGAAAGGCTTAAGGAGATGTAGAAGTTATGTTCTAAGTTTTTGAAACTATAAATAGAAAATTGGTAATCCGAAAACTATTACCAAGGGAATAAATGGGACAGTTTCAAGAATATATTTCACAAATTTATTAGAAAAATGGAATATGTTCCTATTTGTTTATTGAGATGGAGGCTAACTCAGATTAATTAGCCAGGTTTATGGTAAAAATAATATAAGATACAGAAAAAAGCAAGAAATTCATATTAATTTCACTTGAACTGCAAGAACTTTAATGAGTATGATGGACTGAATGGACGTCTTCTGTGTTATAATTTTTATGAGTCAATGCCTAATCTATTCTAACACTGCTTTCAAATTTTCTAGCCATTAACTTCTACCATTTAACTTTATGCCTTTGTCTTCTGCTGTACTGTTGAAATGATCAATTATAGTTAGAGTTATATGCACCATGTTCTATTAACAATGTGATGTAGGCACTTAAAAAGAGGAAAAGTGAAAAATCAAGCTACATACATTGTGAATCTAAAGACTGATATTTTAATCCTTTATGTGTTGCAAGCGGGTGATTGTGTTTTTGTTTGTTCCCCCAGTAACTGTTGCTGTTAGTGACATTTGTGGTGAGATCCCCAACAGGGAGAACTCTTTGAAATATGGGCAGTCAGCCACAGAGTTAGATAAAGGGAGAGTAGCTAAGCCCAGCAATCACTGTAATGGTTTCTATCACAGGAAAGAATACTGGGTGCCTTCCCTGATCCTGCTTAGCCATTTACACTTTTGGAAAATATTTTACATTAAAATGAGAGTTTCTTGATAAAGGAAGAAGAACGATACATTGTTATTGTGTTAGAAATAAGAAAATGCAAGGAACAAAGAGAAGTAATAAAAGAGAATAGTGGAAACTGACAAAAGAAAAATAATATACTGAGGTGAACTTAAGTACAAATAAGGGAAAACTGAGCAAAACAAGAAATATATTCATTTTCTTGCCAGAGTTGATTGGGGATTGGTGTTTTACTTTGGATTTAAGTTATTTTCATTTTTATTTTTAATGCTGGTGAGTTTTATAGCTGCCTGCTATATTGAAAGAAGAAGGATGCCATTTAAAGACAAGTCATTCATAACTACTGGAAGTCTCCAAGCACTTTACAGCCAATTAAGTCCTTTTGGGATGTAGTCCCTGTTATAATGATGGAGACCGTTTGCACACAGCTAACTTGCACAGACAGCAGTGTGACAATGTCCAAGTTATTTATTTTTGTGATGTTACCTTTTTCACACGGTGGGTGGTGTGTGTAAGGAATGAGCTGCCAGAGGAAGTGGTGGAGGCTGGTACAATTATAACATTTAAAAGACATCTGGATAGGTACATGAATTCAAAAGGTTTCAAGGGATATGGGCGGAATGTTGGCAAATGTGGCTAGATTAATTTAGAATATCTGGTCAGCATGGACGAGTTGGACTGAAGGGTCTCTTTCCTTGCTGTACAACTCTATGTCTCTAATTAAGAGATTAATGAACGCCTGGACTCTGGATAAATGTTCTGCTTTGCATCAGCAGAGTCCATGGGATCTTTTATGTCTACCTGAGAGGGTAAACAGCACCTCGTTTGAACGTCTCATCCAAATTTTGCCACCCCTAATAGTGCAGTGCTCTCTCGGCACTCTACTGGAATGTCAGTCTGGATTTTTTTTGTGCTCAAGTACAGGAAGAGGGTATGAAGCATCACAGTCAGTTACATCTGTAAATCTAAACTCACATTGATGATTATGTTGAATAAATTAGTAATGGAGACCTTCCAAAGTCATGCCCACTGCGTGCTATAAGGACAAGGGCAGCAGATACATGCGAACACCACCACCTGCAAGTTCCCCTCCAAGCCACTCACCATCCGGACATGGAAATATATTGCTGTTTCTTTGGTGTTGCTGAGTCATAATCCTTAAACATGCTTCCAAATGGCATTATGGTCAAGCTTCACCAAATGGACTGCAGCAATTCAAGGAGGCAACTCACCATCACCTTCTCAAGGGCACCTAGGGATAGGCAATAAATGTTAGCTCAGCTAGACAAAGTACCTATTGTCAATGATGTGGTATAGTAGGAGTCCTCTTTTTTAAAGCAGTTTTACCTGACACCCGTTAATGACTGGTTGTGGAATACTGAGATATGATAACTTGTATTAACTGAAAACATCATAAAGTAACCGAACATTTGAAAACCTGTTGCAACCGGGGGAAATAAAGCAACTGATAAAACTGCATTGTTTAACTATTGATCATTTTATCTATAATTTAAGTTGAAGCATTGAACAGTTTAGAAAGAATATCTGTAACAGAAACAAAGTTGCTGGAAAAGCTCAGTAGGTCTGGCAGCATCTGTGAAGGAAAAAAACAGAGTTAACGTTTCAGGTCTGGTGACCCTTCCTCAGAACACCGGAAGGGTCACTGGACCCTAAACGTTAACTCTGTTTTTTCCTTCACAGATGCTGCCAGACTGGTTGAGCTTTTCCAGCAACTTTGTTTTTATTCCTGATTTACAGTATCTGCAGTTCTTTTGGTTTTTATATCTGCAACAGATATGTTTTACAAAAAGAAAATGATTAAATGAATTGTAGAAACATTAACTTAGGGATGTTTCATCAGTAATTTATCTTGTATGCAAGGTGAGGTTTAGAATGATTGATTATTTTTAGTTTCATTCTTACAGGGAAGAATGGACAAAAGCCATCCAAACAGTAGCAGATAGTCTTAAGCAAGAGGATGAGATCATGGACGACCATGCAGAGTCCTCCAATGATCACTCATGGACTGATTCAATAGAAATTTCTCGTACTAGACCAAAAGACAAAGTGGTAGGATGTCTTAATTGCAAATATGCAAACACCAAATATATTGTAACTTTCATTATTTAGTGGAATGACATTTTTGATTATATTGGAATAATACCCCATAGATTAGAAATTACTGTTGTTGCTAACACTGATAATTACTGAAAGCATTACTAAGATATAACACTGCATGATTTAACAAACGAATTAAAATAGACCAAGAAATTAATTGAAATAACTTAAACACCATATAGCTTGTCACTAATTAATTTGTAAGCTTCTGCTTCTTTCATGAACGTGTAAGCCGAGAGACATTTTCTGAAGAAGGGTCTAGGCCTGAAACGTCAGCTTTCCTGCTCTTCTGCTGCTTGGCCTGCTGTGTTCATCCAGCTCTACACCTTGTTATCTCAGATTCTCCAGCATCTGCAGTTCCTACTATCTCTGAAATTATTGTTGCCAGTTTGCTCACAACAAGGCCCCACATGCAGCAATATCAGACTGAATATTGACCTTGAGAAGTCTTTCCCTGTCCCCACACTGGGAAGAATGTTCTCTATATTTTCTTCAAAATACCAGCAGGACAGATGCACATAGGCTTTAAAGTCTCAGGTTTCACACTTGCATCATAATTGCTCAACTTCTTATATTTTTCTGTGCTTGACAGGGAGGATCACCAAAATTTGTGTCACTGATTGTATACTTTCCTCCAACCTCATTCTTTTCATTTCTCACCTACTCAACTTAACACCCATCCAGAGTGGGTTTCAGTATCATCAGTGCTGGCAGAGCTGGCTAAGTCCTGGTGGATGTATTTGTCTGACCAGGTCTGTGGCACATAGGTGAGTAGACCTACTTAAATTCATCTTATTTTTTCACCAAATCCATCTGTTGCAGATGCATTTGTTGATGACCTTATTGGTAGAAATGACCATTGCAAAGTCCTTTTGGGGACAAGATCCTTTCTTCACACTCTTATCTTGTTGCGTGGTACTGCCACTGTACAAAATTCTGATAGATTTAATACTAGCAGCTCAAAACTGGGCAATGAAGTGCTATGGGCCATCAGCAACAGTAGAATTAATTCACTTACAAGCTGTAACTCCATGGCCTGATTTATCTCTTACACTACGTTATTATCAAAGCAGGGGATCAACCCTGGTCCAATGAGGTGTACAGAAGAACATGCAAGGAGCTGCAAAAAACATACCTAAGAATGAGGTGACAATGTGGTCAATCTACAGCTCAGGACTAGAATCATAGGACAAATGTACTGCAACATTATATCATGTCCATACTGATTATCTGCATAAACAACTCATTTACTCCCTCTCACCTGCCTTTCCCCTGCAATCTGACAAAATGTGTGCAATTCCTTTCTGGAAGCCTGCATTAAATTTATCTGAACCACATTCTCATGGGGCAGTGCATTTTGGATCCTAACTACTCATCACATGAAACAACTTTTCTTCTTATGTCACAATTGATTCTTTTGCCAATCACCATAAATTGATGAAACTTGCTCCTCTAACTTTTTTCCTATCTGCTCTGACTAGCACCCCCCCACCCCCCCCCCCCCTCCCCCCCCGCAAACTTTGAAAACCTCTGGTAAGCTTTGTTTCTCGAAGGAGAATAACTCCAGTGATTCTAATCTATCCACTTAACAGAAGTTCCTCAACTCTGGAACCAGTGGCCTGAATTTTCCTTGCACCTTCTTGAATGCATTCACATCTGTAATACATGCAAGCTAAACAGTAAAAACAACATGCAACAGACAGCTGAATAATTCTATAACCAATGGATGTGCTCCAAACTCTGCAATCTGCCACATCTAGTTATAAAAGTAGTGTACAATTAAGTAACTAACTGGAGGAGAAGGCAGAACAACTATCGTTATTCTCAATGATGAGGGGAGTCCATCACATCAGTGCAAAAGACAGGATGAAGCATTTGCAACCATCTTCAAACAGAACAGCTGAGTCAATGATCCACTTCACCTCAGCCTCCAGCATCATAGATACCAGGCTTCAACTTTTTCAATTCATCCCATGTGATATCAAGAAATGTCTGAAGGGACTAGATACTGCAAAGGCAATGGAATCCACCAACACTCCAACAATAGTACAAAAGACCTGTGCTTTAGGATTTGCCACATCCCTAGCCAAGCTGTTCCAGTACAGCTACAATACCAACATCTACCCAGCAATATGAAAAATTGCTGAGGTATATTCTGTACAGAAAAAGCAGGTCAAATCCAACCCAGCAATTACCACCCCATCAGTCTTCTCCTATCAATGAAGTGGTGGAAGGAATTTTCAACAGTGTTATTGAGCAGCACCTAGTTAGCAATAACCTGCTCATGGACACTTGGTTTGGGTTCCAGCAGATCCACACAGCTCCTGACCTCATTACAGCCTTAGTTCAAACATGGACAAGAGAGTTGAATTCCAGAGGTGAGGTGAGAGTGACAGCCCTTGACATCAAGGCTGCATTCGACCGAGTGTGGTGTCAAGGAACCTTAGCAAAATGAGAGCCAATGAGAATTGGGGGGTGCTCCTCACCGGTTATAGTTGTACCTAGCCTGAGACCATAAGATATAGGAGCAAGGTTAGGCCGTTTGGCTCATTGAGTCTGTTCTGCTATTTGATCCTGGCTGATATGTTTCTCAACCCCATTCTCCTGCCTTCTCCCCGTTACCCTTGATCCCTTTATATCAAAGACCAATCTATTTCTGTCTTAAATACACTCAATGACTTGGCCTCCACAGATTACTACCCTCTGGCTGAAGAAATTCCTCCTCACCAGTGCTCCCTCTAATTTTCTTTCCAGCTTCTCAGGCCTCTGAGATCTTCTATTAAAAAAAAATCATAATTTTCGTCATGATTATTAGACTGAATTTTGAGATTTTTGTCCTGGAGCTCCACTTATTTGATGGAAAATCTTCAAGAACTGGAAGTCAATGTTGCGCAAGGCGTGCACAGAACTTTGGAGTGCAGCTTAGAGGGAACATTGCCTAACATATAGGAAGATGGTTGTGGTTGTTGGAGGTCAGTCGTCTCAGCTCCAGGACATCTCTGTAGGAGTTCCTCTCAATGGTGTCCAGTCCCAGCCATCTTCAGTTGCTTCATCAATGATCTTCCTTCCGTCATGAGGTTAAAATTGTTCACTGATGCCTGCACAATATTCAGCACCATTCATGACTCCTCAGATACTGAAGTGGTCTAGGTTCATACGTAGCAAGGCCTGGACAATATCCATACTTGGGCTGACAAGGGGCAAGTAACTTACATGTCGTACAAGTGCCAGGGAATGACTGCCTCCAGCAAGAGAAAATCTAATCATTGCTCCTCAGGTTTCAATGGCATTATCATTGCCAATTATCAATGTTCTGGGGATTAAACATTGCAAAAAAGGAGATAAGATGTGAAGCTTTTCATCTTTCACTTATCAGAATTACGATGGAAGAAACATACTTGAACAAAGGGCCACCATTTTATACAGAATGAGAACAGGGTGCTGATTGATTGATTTGAGCTATCAGTTGCATGGAGATGCAGCAGATCATTAATGATGGCCCAGCCAATTGGCACACTCTTCTCATCATTGTCAAGTGACTAGTGTTGACTAATGATGTCCCGCAGGGATCTATATTGGGGCTTCACTTATTCATAATATACATTCACAACTTGGATAATGGCATAAAAAGTTAAATGTCCAAATTTACTGATGATACAAGATTGGGCAACCTTGCAGACTGTGTTGACAACAGCATAAAATTACAACAGGATATTGATAGATTAGGTGAATGGGAAAAGCTGTGGTAGATGGATTTTAATATAAGTAAGTGTGAGGTTATCCATCCACCATCAGGGTAATTTTCAGAAGGCACAAAGTTAAATATAGTGGATGTCCAATGAGATTTGGGAGTTCAGCTGCATAGCTCTTTAAAATGCCATGAGCAGGTATAGTAAATAGTCAAGAAGGTAATGGAATACTGGCCTTCATTATCTAAAGGGCTGGAGTATAAGGGTGCAAATGTTATGCGGCATATATACAAAACCCTGGTTAGACCCCACTTAAGAGTACTGTGAGCAGATCTGGGCATCACATCTCACAAAGGAAGTTTTGGCCCTGGAGGTAATTCAATACAGGTTTATAGGGATGATACCTAGACTTTAGGGGTTAAATTATGAGGAGAGATTAGACAAATTAGACCTTTATTCTCTAGAATTCAGAAGGTTAAGGGGCAATCTAATCCAGGTTTTCAGGATATTAACAGGGAAAATCAGGGTGGATAAACTATTTCCACTGGTTGAAGATTCTAGAATCAGGGGGTATAGTCTAAGAATTAGGACCAGGCCATTCAGGAGAGATGTTAGAAAGCACTTCTACACCTCAATGAGTATTGGAGGTTTGGCACTCTCTTCTTCAAACAGTGGTCAATGCTGACTCAACTGTTAATTTTAAATCTCAGATACACAAATTTTCATGGGCCCAAGGCGGGCATATGGAGTTAAGCCTCGGATCTGCCATGATCTCATTCAATGGCAGTGCAGGCTCAAGGGGCCGAATAGCCTACTCCTGTTCCTGTGATGGGTACAAGATGAAAAGCTTAAATCACTTTTCTTCTAGTAAGCATTGTTTATGTTCTGTATTGTCAAACAATTATTTACATTCTTGAGGCTTTCATTGACCAGAAATTGAACTGAACTAGTTATATCAGTACTGTGGCTACAACAGCGGTCAGAGGCTAGGAATCTTACAGCAAGTAGCTCACCTTCTGACTCCCCAGAGGCAACTACAAGCGAATAAGGTGCCTACCCATGAAGCTTGACACCATTCAGGACAAAGCAGTCGCTTGGCTGGGATGACACCCAAAAACATTTACTCCCTCCACCGTTGAAACTTAGATATTTGCAGGTAAAGGGACGGCTGGAAAATGGGAAGTCTTCAAAAATGAGATAATGAGAGTCCAGAGACAGTATGTTCCTGTTAGTGTGAAGGGCAAGGCTAGTAGGCATACAGAATGCTGGATGACTAGAGAAATTGAGGTTTTGGTCAAGAATAAAAGGGAAGCATATGTCAGGTATAGACAGCAGAGATCAAGTGAATCCTTAGAATAGTATAAAGGCAGTAGGAATATACTTGAGGGAAATCAGGAGGGCAACCGGGGGCATGAGATAGCTTTGGCAAGTAGGGGTAAGGAGAATCCAAAGGGATTCTACAATACATTAAGGACAAAAGAGTAACTAAGGAGAGCATAGTGCCCTTTAGAGATCAGCAAGGCCACCTGTGTGTGGAACTGCGGGAGATGGGGCAGATACTAAATGAGTATTTTGCATCAGTGTTTATTGTGGAGGAGGATATGGAAGATAGAGAACGTGGGGAAATAAATAGCAACATCTTGAAGAATGTCCATATTACACAGGAGGAGGTGCTGGATGTCTTAAAATGCACAAAGGTAAATAAATCCCGAGGACCTGATCAGGTGTACACTAGAACTCTGTGGGAAGCGAGGGAAGTGATTGCTGGGCCCCTTGCTGAGATATTTGTATCATCAATAGCCACAGGTGAGGTGCTGGAAGACTGGAGGTTGGCTAACGTTGTGCCACTATTTAAGAAAGGTAGTAAGGAAAAGCCAGGGAAGTATAGATCAGTGAGCCTGACATCGATGGTTGGCAAGTTGTTGGAAGGGATCCTGAGAGACATGATTTACATATATTTGGAAAGGCAAGGACTGATTAGGGATAGTCAATATGGCTTTGTGCATGGGAAATCGTGTCTCAATAACTTGATTGAGTTTTTTTGAAGAAGTAATGAAGAGGATTGAGGGCAGAGCGTGGACATGATCTATGTAGACTTCAATAAGGTGTTTGACAAGGTTCCTCATCGTAGACTGGTTAGCAAGGATAGATCACAGAAAATAGAGGGAGAACTAGCTATTTGGATACAGAACTGCTTGAAGGTAGTAGACTGAGGGTGGTGCTGGAAGGTTGCTTTTCAGACTGGAGGCCTGTGACCAGCGATGTGCCACAAGGTTTGGTGCTGGGTCCACTGCTTTTTGTCGTTTATATAAATTATTTGGATGTGAACATAGGAGGTATGTTTAGTAAGTTTGCAGGTGACACCAAAATTGGAAGTATAATGGACAACGAAGAACCTTACCTCAGAATATAACAGGATATTGATCAGATGGACCAATGACCTGAAGAGTGTAGATGGAGTTTATTTTAGATAAATGTGAGGTGCTGCATTTTGGACAGGCAAATCAGGACAGGACTTACACACTTGTGAAACTTGAAAGGGTTCAGAAAAGATTTACAATGATGTTGCCGGGGTTGGAGGGTTTGAGTTACAGGGAGAGACTGAATAGACTGGGACTATCTTCCCTGGAGCTGGAGGCTGAGGTTTGACCTTACAGAGGTTTATAAAATCATGAGGGGCTGGTAGAGTCCAAAACTAGAGGGAAAGGTTTTAAAGGGACCTAAGGGGCAACTTTTTCATGCAGTGGGTGGTGCATGTATGGAGTGAGCTGCCCCAGGAAATCGTGAAGGCTGGTACAATCACAACATTTAAAAGGCATCTGGATGGGTATATAAATAGGAAGGATTTACAGGGATATTGGCCAAATGCTGGCAAATGGGATTAGATTTATTTAGGATATCTGGTTGGCATGGACAAGTTGGACCAAAGGATCTGTTTCTGTGCTATATATCTCTATGACTCAGCAGAACAGTCTGTACCATCTATAAGCTGCACTGCAGAAATTTGCCAATGCAACTTAGCATATTCTAAAACCATGACCCCTTACTATCTCAAAGAATAAGCACAGCAGATATATGAGAACACAATGACTGTGAAGTTCCCTTCCAATCCATACAAAACCCCAATATTAAAATGTATCCTGTTTCTTTAGTGTCACTGGGTCAAATTCCTGGGACTCCCTCCTTAACAACATTGTGGGGCTGTGTACACCATCGCAGTGGTTCAAAAGGGTAGTTCATGGTATTTTCCAGCCAGCAAAACCACATCCTGTAAGTGAATAAAAATAAATTACTCCCACCTTGTTTTTTTTAATCCCAAGTAATTTTCTCCTTGGGTTAGTTGAGTTTTGAACAGAATTTCGAAAAGCTCTTTTGAAGGGAAGGGTCTGCGTAGCCACTAAAATGTTTGCATGACATCAGTTCCCTCTGTTTAAAACAAAGTAAATCTCTGGCTGCCTGTTTCTTCCCACGTCTACACCACTCGGTCAAAACATTTCCCTCTGAGTAGGGTACTTGTTACTCAGTGTTCCTTCAGAGTTCAGCACATGACAAGTTTCTTCTGCACTGTTCACCTCTTCCCTGGAGTGAATTCCTTTTCTTTCCTTCACTGACTGTATCTGCTTTGGTGTCGCCACGGCACCTTTTGATTTCTTGTCCTTTTTTATGAAGTGCGGCCGATAACTGCAGTGAGGACCATGATCTTTTTTCCAATGCATCAGTGGATAGACCTGGTGGATCTCAAAGCAGCTTTTATCCTCATTGCCAGTTTTCTTCTTATTCAGGACCAGCAGGCTGAAACGTTAGCCTGCAAGGGCTTTATTAAGGTGATGCTCACACTCAATGGGCAGCAAGATTAGACTTTTCCTGCCCAAAGTGGCAGATGATGTCATCATTATATTATGTGATTGGACTGTTAAAGTGACAGTCCAGCATACTTAAACAAATAAGTAACAACGAGAATAAAGCATGTAAGTGGAATTGAAGCCTATGTCTTCTGATCTTATGTCTGCATTTTTAGATGCAAAGAAATCAAAAAGTGCTTTTGAGTGCTTCTCAACCACAACCTGAATCTGCTGTTAGCGCAGGGGCGTGTAACTCCTTGAGAAATCTTCTTGTATTTTTTGACATACAAACATACAAATTGGGAGTAGAAGTAGGCTAATAAAATCTTCCACGTAGTCATTAATACTTTGTAAAATAAATCTTTAGAAATTGTATTCTGACTCTAAAATTTTGAATGCATTTGGTCTGTTTTGTTTTCTGTTGGACACTTGTTGGTCTTTGTTTGGTGTGTTGCAGACTATGCACAATTTTGAATACTTGAAACTCCTTGGAAAAGGCACATTTGGAAAGGTGATTCTAGTAAAAGAGAAAGCCTCTGGAAAATATTATGCCATGAAGATTCTAAAGAAAGAAGTAATTGTAGCAAAGGTAACTCTTAACAACATTCATCACCATTAGTGCTGGAAGATAGCTTAATTTATGAAGCTTCATTGACTATTTTTCTGTAAAACCTTTAATCTTCTAAAACAGTCTATTCATTTACTATCTGTTATTTGAATTGAAATTCAGCTCTATTATTGCTATACCTTGGTTTTTCTCGATCTACAACTCTTTTATCTTTTATGCAGGATGAAGTAGCACACACTGTGACAGAAAACAGAGTGTTACAAAATTCTAGGCATCCATTCTTAACTGTAAGTACTTATTCAAATACTACAGGAGATGTTAATTAACTACTCTGTTGCAAAAGCTCAAAATTCATGCATACAATACATCCAATTTGACTTTTTTAATTATACAATTTAATTTTTTCATTTGAACAGACTCTTTCGGATCTTTCATAGAGAGCAGCCAAAGCAAACTGTTCAAATGAGTTTTTGAAAGTGCATAGATTATTATGCTTTTTGAAATGCACTTTATGATTTTTAATTCAATTTGATCTTTTCTAGCATCAACATTTTGTGAAAGTGAAAGTAGTTCTCTTGACATTGCGGTGTAATCTATTTGTACGTTACTCGAGGAGAAGTTTAGAGTTCCAGAAATTTGATTGCACCAGACAGTAAAGGCCTGAAGTGTGAGCTTGTTGGGAAGTAGAACATCTCAAGAGTCTTACTGCCCCACCCTAAAGAGGAGAAAGAAATCAACCTCTCTGATGTGGCCTCAATAGCAGATTTTGACCACATCTCAGATGTTGAGCATTTTAGATATCATTGAAATGACTAAATTGATTATCGTACCTTATTTTTCAACTCCTACCTCACTTTGTTTTGTGTTCTGAGATTTAACCCCACAGCATACTTTAATAGCAGCCAAAATACCTTGCAGTTAGGACTAATGCTGTATTCATGACATGGAATATGTTTAAAAATAAGCCCTTGCAATGAATTCAATTAAATTAAAGACCAAGTAATAAAGTTCCTTTCACCTTATTGTCATGGTTACTGCAATACTGTAAATCACATATTCATCACAATAGTACATTAAAAAAAATCTTTTTGCAGGGAAATTTTGTATTGATTGTGTAAATGTTATGCATATACCTTAAATGCTTAAAAGTTACGTCTAGTACCTTGCGTAGTGTTAGCAAAGGTAATATTTGTACAATCAAATATTTTATTCCTGAGCTGTGAACTATATAAGTTGTGTATTGTACAAGTTAATGAATCCCTTCCTGACTGATCTATATACAAGTAGAATTTTAATCCATGATGTTTTCAAAGAAAAAATTCTTGATTTGCTTCATTATTTTTCGCTGTATAAGAGTTTAACTGAGACTTAAGGCAGAGATTAGATAGTTTCTTGTTTCTGGCAAAACTAAAATCAGAAAAAATGCATGTATTTCTGTTCATAAGAGTAATACCCAACTGATGAAGGGTTCAAGTCAGCAGTGGCTTTTCATAAGAATCAAACTTTATTTGCAGCGCAGAATTGCTATTACTGATTAAATGACCTAGTTATTTAAACAAAAGAAGCGGTTTATTTCTATTAAATTATGTTTCTGATTTAAGGTATTTTTGTCTTCAAGGCATTGAAGTATTCTTTTCAGACAAATGATCGTTTGTGTTTTGTTATGGATTACGCAAATGGAGGTGAGGTATGGAGGAAATTTATTAATTGAGAAAGGACATCCAAAATGTTTGCTTTTTTCCCTGTTAGATTTCCTTTCCTGTTGTTTTTAGGATATTCCTGGTTGAATAAAGGTTTATAACATAGTATTGTCACTTGAGAGTTTGCGTTCTAGAAATGATTGGGTTTTTGGTTCTTGTACTGTGAAAGTACTTGTTTGTTGTTTCCAAAAAGTTAGAAAGTCATTTTTTTAACGGTGAACTAAATTTATCATTTCTAATAAAGCACAGGACTTCAGTGAAATGCCTAGTAAGCTATCAGGTGAGTTAATGTCTTATTTACTAATTTGAATTTTGTGACTGACGAAAAACAGATGGCCATGGCTATAACTGGGCTTCAGTATGAGAAGAAATTATTCCTACCAGCAGAAGTGCCATTTAGCTTTCAACAGTCTCCAGGCTGCCCAGGGCTGGAAAGAAATCTCTAGGCTGTCTGGAATTAAAAAAGATAACCGAGGAGTGATCCTTCGCTGTGTTTGAGTTTCTGTAAAGAATATTGGTGTGAACAAGGAATGAATTTTTCTCTCTGGTTTTTTTTGATCATTCCAAATTATCTATATGATGAGTCAGTTTTTATTCCCTCTTCTGCATAGTAAACTTATGTTCTTTTGATAAAAGTATTTTGATAGTCTCGTGTGAATATATTCAGTGACTGACCACCATGGCAACCAAATTGCAAAACTAAAATTTATGTTCTATTAAGCCAGGTTTCACTCTGGGATCTGACTGGTCCAGTACTACCATCAGATGGAATCGTAACACTCAGTACAATTTAACTTTTACTATGATAAGAATCACAGCTATTGACCATTGCTGATGACAATTCTCAGTTAACGGTGCTTCTACTTGTAGTGACTGGAAGATGCAGAAGAACTAAAGTTCTAAATAATATTTTCCCCTTTTCCTTTTACCCAATGGTCTAAAATCAGATGTAATATCCCTCCCTTTATCTTGGCAGAAATGATTCAGCATGGCATGAATGGGCATTGAAGCCCATTGAACTCCCCTGGCCTGTGTGGCTCAGTACTTATTGGACAAATTTACAGAATAGTTGACTTATAATTGAAACATGAATAACTATGGTCAGTATTTTTTGTAACTCTTAGTATATGTTTTTATTTCAGTTATTCTTTCACCTGTCAAGAGAACGTGTTTTTTCTGAAGACCGTGCCCGTTTCTATGGAGCAGAGATTGTCTCTGCCTTAGATTATCTCCATTCTGAAAAAAATGTAGTGTATAGAGATCTTAAGGTAGGAAAGACATTGTGCAGTGCATTGCATTCTTTGAGTACAGTAAATTGTTAATAAGAAAATGTGCTTGAGTGATGTAAAACATATCTCTCTTTGTGGAATTACCAACAAGATTTCCCAAAAGCGGGTATTGAATCATTCAAATTAAAAATCGTATCTTTAAATTGTTGAGTAAAGTGTCAGGGCATTCACCTTTATACGTGAAAATTAATTTAATAGTTTAAGCTGATTAGCAATAACTAGTTTCTTTATGCTCAGTGTGTTGCTTAATTTTGTTTAGTTGGAAAACCTTATGCTGGACAGTGATGGTCACATTAAGATAACTGACTTTGGACTTTGCAAAGAAGGTATCAAGGATGGAGCAACTATGAGAACATTCTGCGGAACTCCAGAATATCTTGCACCAGAGGTTTGTTGTTTTATTTTATTATTTATTTTTATCCTGTGACCTTTTTTTGCTTTATCAAATGAGGGATAATGTGACTGGAGAACAAAGTATGCTTACCACATTTACTTTCCACTGTTAGCATCAAGCATTTCCAGGTGAAATGCTGTTCAACCTGATGTTCTATTTAAGCATATTTCTGCTGAATCTCAACAGCATACCTTAAGTCAATCTTGTAGTTTTCTGATGCACTAGTGTCTGTGTGTTTGAGTGAGGTGCCTGTTTAATGCCAATTGAACTGCTGGCTAATCCATTTGTCTTACTGATCTGAACTTAATGGAAACAAATCTTATTCAGACTCACTGCAGCATTCCCTCATTACCATACTGCACTGTGAGAAGAGCTATCCTTCATGATAGACTAGACCAGGCCGTAGCCGCTCTGCCAGATGGACATTAAATGACATTATTTGAAGAACAGCAGGGGTATATTCCCAATGTTTTGGCTAATATTTATATCTTAACCAGTATTTTTAAAAAAAAATGTATTTAATGGTATTGTATTTCATGTCGGACTTGGTTGTGCTAAATTGGCTGCAGTATTTCCCAACAGTGACTACATTTCAATAGCACTTAATTGTCTATAAAGTACTTTGAGGTGTCCATTGGCTTTAAAAGATTTTCTGTAAATGCGTATCGTTTCATTTTGCACAAAACATAGCATTGAAACTGGTGTTAGGATAAATTTTGAGCAAAGCAAAGATTCCTTCAAATTTAAACTAATTTAGTTAGTAAATCCACTAAGATATATCTCTAAGCACAAATATCAGGATTTACTTTGATAGCAATATTTGTCTTAACAGTTTTTGGAATGGCAAATTGTTAATTTTAACACACTTCCTCACCTTTTTAACTTCCTCATCTTTTAACCATGAGATTTTGTTGCTAGATACTTGGTCCCCTTTGCAAATACCACACTATGAACTATTTGTTTCTCTCATTTGCATGCTAGTAAGCATTGAAGTATCACTTCGGTAACTTTGGAACCTTAATGCAATTTTTAAAAAAAATTTACTTGACTTGAATCACTTTCCTGTCATCAGTCTCTGTTTGTTTTGAAAATTCTACTGTTTGGAGTATTTGGTTCAAACAACAGGTCTGCTGAGGAGTTTGCAGCACAGTAATATCTTGTATTAATCAATTATAAGTGCCTTAAAATACAGTGCTTAGATGCATTTTGAAACAAAAAAAACTGGCTTTTTGAAGCTTTTAAAAATTAGGATTGTTGAAACAACATTAAAATATACTGTAAAATAAAAATATTTAAATATGGTTTAGCAATCATAGGAGCTTTAATCGTGTTGTATGCATATTGTGTGGTCTGGCAATTTCTGTAAGTCCATATGACCTGATATGAGGTTGTAAACTTCATTGATACCATTTTCAGCTGCAGTTCAAAGTACATAATGCTGGAAAGCCTCACTCAATAGATTAAGTGAAGATGTTTAACCAATAAATTTAGGGTGTCACCAATAAAATTTATTTTCAACCCAAGGAAAGTGTTTTGCGACATTCCTTCAAGAAGCATATTTAAGAAATTGGTGTCAAACTTAAAAGAATAGTATAGTTTTCAATATTATTATCAATGTGACTCCAAGACCACAGCTTTAGGTATTTTTCATAACCATGTTTGGACTCTGACAAGAGAATAGATTATAGGAATTTATGAAATCTGAACATATAGATAGGTTTGTGGGGCATTGACATCAGTACTGGGGAAAATGGGATCTATATTGATTGGATGATCTCCAGATGAACCATGATGGGCCCAATGTTCTTACTGCAAAACTAAGGAAGTAGCATGAAGTCAAGATTAAATAGTTCAGGCAAGGGATAAAATTTGGGAATATGCAATAAATCAAAGAGTAGAATCAAGGCCAAAGAGAAAAGTATTAATACATGAAATTATAAATAAACTGTGAAATTACAAATCTAAAAGTAAACCAAGAGAAAAGCCTTGAATTTACAAAAAGAATAAAATGATTAAACTAATGGCCCTATATCTGAACGCATATAGGATTTAAAGAAGAACAGCTGAGACCAGAGCACAAATAAAAACAAATAGGTACAAACAGTCATTACATAGAAATGGCTGCAGGATGACATTGACAGGGACATGAATTTTCAGACATGCAGGAAGCTTGGAAAAGGTGTAGAGGTGGCTCTGGCAATTAATGCTGGATTACCACTATAGAAGGGGATGACCTAACTTCAGGTAATCAAGATATGGGAGCAGCTTGGGTAGAGATGGGAAGTGATAAAGACAATAAGTCACTTATGGGAGTGATGCTCAGGCCTCTAGTAGTAACCACACGATAGGGTGAAGCGTAAAGGAAGAAATAATGAGCCTATCAGAAAGATATGGCGATAATCATGGGAGATTTTAATCTACATACTTACTGACAAAGGTAGTCTAGATGAACAGTTCATAGAATGTTTGTGGGATTGTTTCTTAGAGCAGCATGCTCTACAGCTAATGACAAAGATAGGTAGTGAAGAGTACTTAAAAAGGCTACAAAAAGATTATAGGTAGTTGAAATCAGTGGACGAGGATTTGGCACAGCATAATGTGAGGAAATGTGAAATTTTCCAATTTATGATGGAGAATTAAAAGGAAGCATATTATTTAAATGGTGAGGGATTGCAGAGCTCTGCAATGCAGAGGAATCTGGTGCCCTATTGCATGAATTGGCAAAGGCTAGTTTGAAATTACAGCAAGTAATTATTAAAGCTCACAGGATGTTGACATTTATCACAGACAGATTTGAATACAAAATTAAGATATTTATGTTTCAGTTGTACAGAACATTATTGAGACCACACCTGGAGTCCTGTGCACAGTATTGGACACCTCATTTAAGGAAGGATGTAAATGCTTTGGAAGTAGTTCAGAGAAAACTTACCAAATTTGTTCCTGGATTGGTTGGTTTTTCTTATAAGGAAAGGTTAGATAGACTAGGCTTATATCCAGAGGAATTTTGAAACGTAACAGGTAACATGATTGAAATATGTAAGATCTTGAAGGGTCTTAACAGGGTAGATGCGGTGAGGATATTTCCCCTAATGGGAGAATCTAGAAACATGAGTCACTTTAAAAATCAGGGAGTCCCATTTAAAGAGATCAGACAAATTTATTTCTCTGAGGGTCATGAGTCTGTGGAACTCTGCCTTGAAGATATCCAAGGATTCTGCTTCCACCACCTTTTCAGGTACAGAGGTAGATATATTCTTGTTAAGTAAGAGGGTGAAAAAGTTATGAGGGATAGACAGGAGTGTGGGCTTGAGGTTAAAAAAGTAAGATCAGCCATAATATTATGGATTAGGGTAGGAAGCTTGAGAGACAGATATGCCTGCTGCTGCCCCTTGTTCCTATGTTTCTACAATGAATATAAACATACAGGAGTATACTCTTGCAACCACCTTTTTAAGTCCATGTTGCACTGAACACTGGTACTATTGAAAATATTTGAAAATTATGCTGTCATTAATAAAAGCCGAAGGTGGGCAGAAGAATTCCTTCCATTAAGAAGGACCTAGAGATGTTTAAAACTAAGAACAATTTGTTCAAGTCTGGATCATTGTGCTGAAGTGCAAATTTAAAACCCCGTGCATTTTCTGTTTGCTAACCTCAATGATGCACTTCCATTGAAAAAGTGGATGCTTCTTTTGCTTTAATGTCATCTTTTAACATGGGTTCTGGAATGTAAAATAGTTGCTTCTGTTTACACAGTTGTTGCATAGTTGTTTTTAGCTGCATGATGGAATTTGGTTCTGGGAATGGGAGTATCTTGGAAATGTGAGCTTCTGGTTATCAAAGGCTTCAGTGTTTATCACTGCCTTGGTTCCTCTTGTAAATTGTGTTAAACAGCTGTCATGCGTTGTATTTGTGATATTCTAGTGCTACCCATTTTAACAGACTTTGGTTTTCTCATTGTTTCAACGTAATATTCACAAATGGGGATGTGGTGTGGGCATTCTGCAAATGCCATCAGAGTTCCTTTATTTTTACAGCTGAGTTACTTAACAACAGTCTGTGATTAATCGAAGTCACTTTTATTGATGGTACCTCCACGAACTATGTAAAACTTAACAAAAAAAAACAGGAGCCTTTCCAGAGAGTCATTCCAGTTGAAAACAATTATTCCAACTTGCAGCTTCCCTGCAATGAATAACAGGAGATATAGACCTGTAGCAAGTCTTAGGTTTGATCTCGGCTTGTAAGCTAGTGGAAGGCTGAGGCAGTTCATCTCAGTTGCTTTTATTAGGGAGGCAGCCAGTGGGGAGCACTATCCAGCAATCCCTGTTGGATTTTTCTATGCCAAATGCAGACTGACTGCCCTGCTTAGTCAAATAATAGCAGTTCTGAAGAAGAATCAAATGGGACTCCATGTTAGCTGTTTCCCTCTCCACAGATGCTGCCAGATCAACTGAAAGTGTCCAGCACTTTGTTTTTATTTCAGATTTCCAACATGCAGAATATTTTTTCTTGCTGGGTAAGAAAGACTGCAATGGTCTGAGTTTTGAGATTTAATACTGATAACTTCAGAAAGTAGATAGTAGTTACGCGCAATCCAAAGCTAAGCTGGTGGTTCTGCTGGATGGTCTTGAGATACAGAAGCTAGCAAATTGAAGAGCAAGATGGCAAAGCTTGGTTGTGATAGTTTGAGTGACTATACCTTTCTTATTTCTTTGAAGAGTTCTTGGCTTGTATAATTTTCTGGCTGAGGAATGAGTGAATTACTGTCTCTGAGCTCTCACTGCAATTAATGAGCTGTTGGATTAATGGAGCTGGTTTAAAAAAATCTGATTGGAGCCTTTCTTAGAAATTTGCATGGAAACAGCAACTGGGACTTCTTATTATGCAGTAGAACTCATTCAAATAGTTAATAGTAAGGTTAAGAGGGAGAATTTTTTAGCAAAGGTCACCGTAATAGGAATATTAATAATGGATGATGTAAAAGTGAAGTGGGACCAACTGCTTTTGACATCAAGGCTGCAGTTCATTGAATGTGGCATCAAATAACCTTAGTCAAACCCAAGTCACTGGCAATAAGGGAAAACTTTCCACTTGAATTCTGAAGGTGGTTATTGAACTCAAAATATCAATTCTGTTTCCCTCTTTGCAGATTTTGCCAGATCCCCTGAGTTCCTTCCATACCTTCTCTTTTTAAAACTTTTGACTTGTTGGAGTCATATCCAGCCCAAAGCAAGCTACTTGTGATTCTTGGTGTTCAAACACATTGGTCCAAGGATGTGACTATTCGAGTTCCTCAGGATAGTGTCCTAGGCCCAACTATCCTAAGCTGCTTTATCAATGCCCTTCTCTGCATCATAAGGTCACAATGGATAGTTACTTGAGTTTAATTGGTGTCCTGTGCCATTTGTAAGTTCTCAGATACTGAAGTAGTCCATGTCCATATACAGCAAAACTTAGACAATGTTCAGGTTTTGACGGAGAATTGGCAAGTAATAACTGCACTGCACAAATGTCGAGCAATGACCACCTCCAACAGGAGAGAATCTAACCATCGCCCTTGTAAAGTAACAGCATTATCATCTCTGAATCCCCCACTATCAACATTCTGAATGTTACCATTGACCAGAAAATGAATTGGACAGCCATATGCATACTGTGGCTACAAGAATAGGTCAGAGACTGGAACTGTTGTGGGAGGTAACTCACCTCATGACTCCCAAAGCCTGTCTGTTATCTCCAAGAGACAAATGAAGAGTGTGATGGGATATTCTCCTTTTGCCTGGATGAATGTGGCTGCACTTGGAATAATTAAATGGTATTGAGCCTGCTTATTTGCTATTCCATTCATCACCACAAGTATCCACTTCATCCACCATCAATGCATAGTGGCGGTAATTTGCCGAGACAATTTTAACAGCACCTTCTAAATCTGTGACTTCCATCACCTGGAAGGACAAGAATAGTAGATCCATGTGAGCGTGCACACCTGCAAATTTCCATCCAGTCATCCTGATTTGAACAATATTCCATTTGTTTGCTATTCTTTGGCCAAAAACTCCCTTCCTAACAACACTGTGGGTATACCTACACCAGATGGATATCACTGGTTTATGAAGGCAGCTGACCATCACCTTCTCAAAGGCAAGTAATTAGAGGCGAGAAACAATGCGGCTTTGCCAACAACACACCAATTCCCTGAAGGAATGAAAGAGAGCTAGCTGTTGGTGTGCGAGAACAGCCAGCTCAGCCCATGCACTTTCATTAAATGCAATAGCTGAATGTGGCTGGGAGGTTTTTTCCTGACAGCACAGCTGACAGCAAAAGGTCTCCAGGTAAAGAGCTCAAGCCTGAATATTTCCTGTTATAATCCTGATCATGTTGTAGGGTAATTGTTATATAAAAGTGAAATTTTCCAAAAAAATAACCTATCTCAGTTACCTCTGTTTAATTGATTTTTAAATATGACATGGTGTTATTAATGGAGAAACAGCAATGCAGATTTGGCTTACAAAATCAAAATACTGCCAATGCTGGAAGTCTGAAATAAAAGCAAATGGTGCTGGAAATATGCAGTTGTTTCTCCACCACAGATGCTGTCTGAGTCAGATTTAACATTTCAGATCTGTGACCTTACATCAGAACAAATCTGCTATGCTCAGTTGTTTTAAAGGAGGCACAAATAATAAAGGAATTGAAACAGTTCAATTTGAACTAATCCAAAGTACACTTATGAAACTAAATGATAGTGTTTTTGCATGTGTCTGTTAACTCCCTGCAACTAGGAAGGCCCAGGTGTACTAGTAGACCCTTTCTCTGGAGCCATGTGGAAAGGAATTGAAAACAAAGCTGTTGTTTGTATTTAAAATGAGAACTTGAGACCCGATGCTGCATTTAGGCAGTTTCTACAGATTATTATCATTGTAGAATCTAGTTTTAATCTTTTCCCTCTCTGCCTTATTTCAGTGTTCCTAGTGTTGTATGCTTTAATCTAAGGAATATTGATAATGCTGATTTGCTAAAATTGTCTCCTACCTTCATTTAATGGTGGAGCAATGAATAGCCATGCTGTTGCAGAATTAACTCTGTTGGGCCAGTGCAATATAACTTGATGGCTGTTCCTGCCAGTAAAGGGTTGTTAGTATGAAATGGATCAAGAACTCCAAGTGGGGATTTAAAATGACAGCTGTGGAACTTGTAATAAAACACACTGCAAGTCAGTATTGCAAGCACCTGAAGAGGGGGAGGGTAAGATTAATCCGAATTAAGATGCACTTAATTAACTGCAACATCTTTGGAAAGTTGCATCTTTTTAATTTTCAGTTTTGTTGATTGGATAATTCTGAATTTTGGGTGCAGAGCGATACCTTCCAAGCAGCAAAAAAGATTCTGATTACTCTTAAAAGAGTCGATGAGTGTAGCTCCTGGAATTCTGGCTGGCAAGCAGCTGTGTTCCTCCTATACATATATGGGGCAGCTGTACAACCAGCTGTCGCTTGGTTTGAATCATTTGGGCAGGAGCTGCTGTAAATAGACCTGTGTGTAAGTAACATAATACCTGCTCAGATTCTTGTCAGCAGATGAGTTTTACATTTCTCCACAAACCTTTTTAAGAATTAAAAATGAGCAGTTACACCAGCTAATAATGCTATTAAGGAGGTCAGTGAAATCACCCTATGAGGTAATTTCAGAAGACATTTGATTCTGAACTCAAAAGAAATATTTTTTCTTGAAATGTAAGTTTAAATTCAGCAGTTGTCTTAATTTTAAAAAAATACACCATAAAATAAATTTCCAAACAACTTAATAAGGCTCCTTAGACATCACTTTACAAACGCATGACCCTCACCACCTAGAACAACTAAAGCAGCAGATACATGGTATCACTACCACTTGTGGGTTCTCTTCATGGATCACACCATCTTGACTTGGATCTATATCAGTTCCTTCACTGATGCTGGGTCAAAATCCTGGAACTCCTGTTGAGAAGCACAATGGGTGTACCTACATCATATGGACTTCAGTGGTTCAAGAAGGTGACTCAAGGGCAATTAAGTGGGCAATAAATGTCTAGACAGCAATGCCTAAATCCCATGAATGAATAATGAAAAACAAGTTAAACTCCCTGAATAAATTCAAAGACCCAGCTTCCATTGTGTACACAACTTGGTACACAAATACTAAGCCACAAACAATGGACAAGGTGCAATTTTCAAGGGCTTCTAGTTTTGTATAAAAAGGAAGGTTCATGTCAATTTTCTGATACCTAATTGGTCACAAACTGAG